AATCTCATATATGCGTTTATAGCTAATTTGAATTACTTAAAAAAATAAAAATCTGTGCACTAAAAAGTAAAATTTTAGTGAATGATTACGAAATATTTTAATTATCGATTGTAATATTAATTTTTTTACGCACATCTATACCTTTTGCGACTTGAGAAATGTTGTATTATAGAACAAACATCATAATGCTTTCTATATAGTGAAAAATGTTGCTCGTAGAAAAATTCACGCTATCTTTGAGTAAATATTTTCTGCTTTGCTAGTTATTTATTGCGTTTGGAACTGCATTTGACATTATTATTTTATAAAATACTCTAAATTTAATATCTTCTTCTCTTCTCAGAATAGATTTATGAAGAGAGAATTTCATTTTTTTTTTTAAATAAGATATAAATACGTAGCATCTTTTTCGCTTTTAAGTTTTAATATTAAGATATTTTAAATTTAAACCAAGATATTTTGATCTTTTACTTCAATTAACTTTTGTTGAGATATTAATTCTTAGGTTAAATAATTTTTAAAGAAAAATCTGCAGAAAGTTAATTAAAAAAATATTTTTACTAAGTTCTTATTTATGTTTTTGGAACTTGATTTGTAAATATTAATTTTAAATAATATTTAACATTAAATGTTATAATTATAAGGCAGTCTGATTAGTGAAATTGATTTCCGTTTCGCGTTGCGGAGTACATTTTCTAAGTGCATATCGGATGCTGTTCGTCTTTCACGGGTCCACAGTCTATTTACGGATCCGCCTCCCTCGGTTACGAAGGGGTTGAGCCCGCAGGCTTGGTTATCCATATTTAAATACCTTTCGCCCCCTCGCTCGTATCACTCCGCTGAGCTTTCCCAGCGGGTAATCGCGCTTCTGGGATTTTATAGGATTTCTGTCGCGTACGCTGCGTTCCGTTTTATTTCTGTCCCGTTTCACATATCGCGGTTATTGTACCTGGATACGACACGCTATCGATCCAAAATTTCGCGTGAGCATGAACGTGTGATTATAGACCGCGAGAAATAGCCGGGAAAATTGTGATGGATAGACGTGACATTTATTTCGAACTCTTAATGTCGAGAAAATACAACAGTTAATTGAAATTTTAATAGTAACTTGTTATCATATTTGATTGAAATAATTACGTTTAGCATAGTATATATTATTATTTTTATAATAATTTTATTGAATTTGTCTTTTTAATGGTGTAATCAGTGTTATAGTTTATTTTAATATATAGAACAAGGTTTTATCTTTTAAACGTTTATAAATTATAAGTTAAAAATTATAAATATTATTTAACACA